GACCTAATACAGTTTCTCTCTATGCTGATGGGAATTTGATGAGTATCAGTCTTTTTACAACAAAACAGTTTCATTGATAGGTAGAATGAAAAACAAATATGAAGATAAAATATCAATGAATAGAGTTAAAGTAATTGAAAAATGGACTGTATATAAACACATTCTATTTATGTTGATTATAGCAGATTAGAAGATTATTATACTCAGTCTTGTGTAATACAGTCTCAAGAGCACCTGTTTCTAGTCTGATGCAGTTGGATAAATACAGATTACTTTCATTGCAACTTCTCACTAGGTAAAAAAATCATGGCAGGCTACTATGATCATCTTGCTGACTGGGCGGAATTACCATTCTTTGCCAAATTATAATTGAATGGCGCCTTTTTGGATTACATTCTTTGTTCCATGGTTGGAATTTTTATTTTGGTCATAATAAAGTCGGTCTTATTATTGAATGGCTAGACAAAATACAGTTATGATAATATATTCACATCAGTTTTCAGAGATGATGATGAAGGTAACAGTTTTTTTAATTATATGAGTTTCCATTGATAAATATATATATATATATATGAACAAAGAAGACACAAACAGTAGATTGCATTGCTTATTACCTGGCATATATTTCACTGCATCTTGTTAGGTGCATATTACAGTTTATTGTAGTGAAGTAAATTTATTAACTGTTTGGTTTATTTTTCTTTCAGTTTTTTGATGCAGTTGATAAATACAAGGACTCTGTCTTATCCTGGAGTGAACTGTATGCAAGAGTTACCCATATTTTACAGATCATCGGGCCTAGGTGGCAGGTAATTCGTGATCAGCATTTTGTTGGCGCCCTGCGTTGTCCAGGCGATACATCCTAAGACATTGACAAAGCCATTGCAAAGTTTCCAGACATTTTTGGCCTCCCTGGCAATTCTCTAAGTCATACGGATGAAGAAATAATCTTATATGAACCTATCCGCGTGTTCCATGATGACCTGGTTGATGATGATGAGGAAGGTAAAGATTCTGTTGTAGAAGTTCATCAAGAGAAAGACACACTGCAGGTTACCTCAGATGATTCACAAGACAAAGAACCTGAACATCAAAATAAACAGGCTGTCTCAGATGATTCACAAGACAAAGAACCTGAACATCAAAATAAACAGGCTGTCTCTGATGATTCACATATCAAAGAAAATGCACATAACCCTCAGCACATCATTTCTGATGTTTCACAAAACAAAGAACCTGAACATCAAACTAAACAGGTTGTCTCTGATGATTTACAAGACAAAGAAACTGAACATCAAACTAAACAGGTTGGTTCAGATTCACAGAACAAAGATTCTCCTTCACTTGTGCCAGATGACCCAAATGTAGATGATGATTTAAAACAAGATGATTGGCTTCATCATGATCTGTACAGACATGGTGATGTGGGTGAGGATGATGACATACATAACGATCCTGAACCCACACAACATTCTTATTATGACTACACTGAGTCAGAAGACGATTTGAAAGTTCACAAATCAGATCATAAAGATGAATTATAAGTATAAGTAAAAATCCCCTTTCACACCTTTAGGCACATCTGGAATATGGGAAGAGCACCCATATTTTTACAGAACCTTCCACTGGAGTTTACTTACAGCAGGTGAACGTGAAGAAGAAGTAGTTAAGAAAGTAAAGTAACATACCCTTTTAATATTGGCACATCAAGCATATGGTGCTAGAAACCTATTTTTGTAAACCAATCAGCCCTCAGTGTTTGATGTGGTCAACATCTTGCTGACTCTGTTTGCTTCTTTGGGCGTCAAGGTAAATGTAGATTCAAACCCAAGACTTTCAGGCAGTAACCATCTAAACCATAACTTAAAACAGTATTACACGTTTATTCAAAACATAAACCTGAGCTTTCATTTCAAAAAATAGTTTAATCACTTTTATAAATTTGTTTTTTTTCTTAATCCTGTTACCTGATTGAAAATGGCAAACATAAAAGAAGGCAGCTGTGTGTTTCAGCATGTGCAACTGAATGAAACTCAAGGCAAAATCTAAGTTATCACAATAAATGGAATTGAACAAACCACAATTTGATGTCAGTTATCTACATATGAAAACAGAAATAAAGTACCAGTTACTGCTACTGAGGTGCTAAATCGAGATGTGTTGAGCTTCATATATTTTATGCCACAGAAAAAAAGATGCAGGTTCTCTTGCCGGGCATATGTCCCTCCCAAACAATTCTCAGAAAATTGTGGTCCCATTTTTATGAAGCTCAGTCTATCCCAGAGCTGTGCTTGTAGAGGAAGAGAATACGCTGTTTCTCTCCTGGGGACTGAACCCACACCACTATCCTGGCAGCCAAGTGCACTGTTAACTCTTTGAGTGCCAGGCTGCCTGCCATATGTTTGCCAGTTACTCTAAAATATAAAACAGTTATGATTATTTTCGTAATGTAATTGCTAATACCTATGCTGGTACCCAGAGAATCAGCAATATCGGAGAGGCGTCCTACCTTTTTTGTCTATTAAAACGAGAAGTGTGTGTATATTTTCTTTAAACTTTTGGAGAATCTCAGTCTTAACAATTACAGTTGTGTGGGTTTTTTTTTTTTTTAGATGCTTGGGTTGTAAGCATTGGACATAATAAGAACAACTTTTTCTTACTTTATTTCATAATTCTAGCCAAACTTAATAGGGTTTTTCACTTTGTTGTTTGAAATTATATTTTTGTTGTTTTTCAATGTTCACTGCCTGCATCTTGTGTATATTATGCTTTAAGTAATTTGATCATACATACATTTTCTATTTTGTATATACACAACATTTTTCAAGGCTGTTATCTATCTGTTTTATGTCACTTCAAACACTTTTTTTGTACATATTGTTTACCTTCATGTTATCTCATAAATAATTTCATAATGTTGTCATATTGACACTAAAGTGATAATATGTGTTGTTGTTGTTAAGCTGCAACCTTTGTGTTGCATATTGTTTCCTAAGTTGATTCTCTTACCATTTAATATTTGCCACATTCCAGTTTGTATAAAATGATCATGTGTTTTTGTGTTTGCAAGATTTACAATAAAATCAGGGAAAATTAAGAAACTTGCTTGTTTGTTCAGTGTAACTTGTTAATTTCAGAGGTGTCCTTCCATATGATTTGAACCAGTTAATATAAAGTTTGCAAGATAGGCTGCGGAGTGGTTAAAAACACTAGGTTCACATCTGAGATACCCGCATTTTATCTTTTACAAGGTGATGGAAAGATTTCTTTGGAAGAAAAAAAAAAGACAATCATAACCTGCAGATTCTTCAAGCTTTACAATAATAAAATAAGTAAGCAAAAAGATAATTTGGTGCATGTTAACTTGCAATGGCATCCTGCTGTGTGATTCTGTCTTTTCATTCCATTCATGTGGTTTCCACTAGGATGTCAACTGGCCACACCTAGGATCTCACTACCGCAGTATTTCACTGAACATATGTTCAATATTCTGGGGTGACTGTTCACACAAAGTCCCCAGTCTTGAATTTCCCGTATATATGGCTGCAGAGTCTGTTGTGTCCAGTTTTCAATATAAATACAGTGGTCTCTTTCATTTGAGGCTGGGTCTTCGGGACCATGCTCTGGATGAGAAATGTTCCAATGGGTTCTAATATCTGCCCTGATTTGCATTTTATTTTCTTCATAGGTACCCCCACATCTGGCTGTTCTGTACTGCTCCCACTTTTTGCTACGCTATTAGTGTCAAAGGTGGACACTTACATACTCTAATATAAAGTAAAATTGTGACAACAGAGATGAAGAGCTGCAGGAGTTGAGAGGAAAATGCCATGAATAAAGCCAGTCTTACAGGTCATCAAAGAACAAGTGAAGTGGTTTGGACACCTAACAAGAATGCCCTGGTACTATCTACCTCAGCAAGCCAATCCGAAACCTTACAACGGGTATAGAGCCAGCGGAAGACCCCAGAAAATATAGAGTGATGGCATTAAGAACAGTTTACAGAAATAACCATCAATCTTAATAATGCTCTTGACATAGCTCATCAACAAATGTTACATCTCTTCCCCCTCCTCCCCGACACTTCGTTTAGGTACAAAGTGGAGGAGAAAAAGAAGAAGTTTGCTCTTTCCTCTCCTGTAATGCTGCAGTGGCCTGAGACCCACTGGCCAGATGACCCATCTGATTCAGTCAACATCTGAGCAGCTTGATTCTATGTGATTTTAACTATGAATGTTGAATTAAGAAATGACATCATAGCCCTTGGGACACTCCCATAAGCACTCTGTCCCCATCTTCAGCAGCAAGCCAAGAGTTCCAAATTCCGATGGTACCAGTAACTGACTGACTGTACAACCGTATCGCCTTTTCCTTGAGTGCTGAGCGTCGGCCAGATCTGATTTGAACCAATTAATATAAAGTATTTGTAGAAACAACTGACCAAGCAGTTTAAACATTAGGCACTTGTGTTGAAAGACCCGGATTCAAGCCCTTGGTAAAGTGATGGACATTTTTTGGGGGGTCAGCATAAAATACAAAAATCCTAACCTGTACAATTAATGACAATATCAACAACCATGTGGTTATAAATGATTAATGTGGTTATAAATGTTAAGATGCAAAATCTTTCTCTCCAACACCACCATATGAAGTTGTAATTACAAGCAATATTGCCAGAATAAATATAGTTTAATGACGTTCTAAAGTCAAATGCTTCAATAAATACTGAGATAAATGATATAATATACTTTTCATCCTGAACAAACAGTGGTAAATATAATGGCTACAGATTGTGAGAGTGATCGATCAGTTCCTATTTCTATTATTTCCGTGACAGCAGTTTCCACTTTTATTACACAACTCTAAATTGATTCTTTAAAAACTGGTTTTGAACCTTTCATCAAGGCCAGACAAGACTAAAGTGGTTAAATTTGTCAACCACTCAGCAATCAGTACATCAATTTCTCTAAAATTACTCTTTATCTCCAGCTATTTGAGAGTCATGTGTCATCTGACTTGCTATTCTCAGCCCATGTGCCCAGGATGACTGTGTTTCTGGCAACACTAGCAGCAAATACAGGGGTGGTATTCTTCATGGTTGAAAAGTTGAAGCCGTTCAACCAGCTGGTGTCACATAAAGTCACTGTTGAACCATTCCGTGTCAGCCTGTGGTGAAAACAATACAGAAGAAAATATGGTTTTACAAATGAACATAGGTAGCAGTTTAATGTATATTTTAAATATAAAATCAAACATGACTGTTGGGGTGGCAGCTCTTATCCACCATGTAAGTAACCGAAATAAATAATTTTTTCCACATCTTGAGGCTTGTTGGGTATATGATGCTAGCTCCGTGTTTGTATCGACCAATAAGAACCTGATGGGAGATGTGATCAACAACACACTGGTCATTTTTTATTCCTAGAAAATTTCCTGGTCAGTCTATTAGGCTAGGTTGCCCTGACAGCCTGGGTCAATTCTTTAAATCCACTACACACAGAATTCAGGTATGTCCAATTTTCTTTAGATCAACTCAATTGGAGGTGTGGCCAGTAGAACACCAGCTGCCTTGACTTCAGAGAACATTCCCTAGAACCAAGCTTAGGCAGGGTAAATAAAAAGGTCAATTTTTTCTTTAATCCTGGCCTGACATCCTAAAAGACTTGACAAGAAAGACTAGCTAGTAAAACAGTATCATGTCTCAGAAATTGAAATGTTTTGGACATACCAAGTGCCATGACAGACTTGAAAGGTAAGAAAAGCAGAAGGCATGGTACCAGGAGAGCTGAACAACACGAAGATGGGCACAGATTATAAGTGACACCTTGGATAGGAAAACAGCACAATGCAGGAGAGATGGTGAGAGATTGAGTTTCTTTCAGGCAGACCATTATGTGAGCGACATTCTTCAAAGAACCTACCACATGACGATGACAACAAACTATTTGCCACTTATAACCAACTAGGAAATATGGAAAGACATAAAATGCAGAACTGTAGAATTTTTTCAGGGAAACAAACACGGGCATCTGAAATACAAACTTATGTGATAGAAAGGCTTTTTTAACTCTACCAGACCGATGTACCCCTTCTGCGGTTATTTCCTTATCTGCCGCTAAACCGTTGTACCTCACAGTCAGTACTTTGCACACTACGTAAAAACAAATTCCAGATGTCTGCCCACGTGTGCTTGGATTTACTTTGTGTGGTTTAACATGAAAAAATTGTGAAAATTCACAATGAAACGAGCGGCTGATGAACCAAGCATTTCAAAAAGAAAGTGAAGTAGGCCTAGGCTTTTCACAGTCCAACAGGTGATCGATACTCTGGTTGATTCAGACTCTGAAGAGTCAGAATTTCGTGAAGAATATGTTCCCAGTTGAAGTGACAGTCAGTGAGAGCTCGAGTGATGAGGAGAATCTTAAAAATTATAGATTTAAAGCTAGATCGATAGTAAGAGAAGGGGGTGTGTCCCTCAAACAGCAACATCTGGTGCTTACTTTGTGAAACAAGGCTGATGCTGCTGGGTGGATTGGCGCACAAAGGTGGAATATTGGCGCTAGATGAAAAGTAAACCTATTTTCTACAATGTCTCTGAGTTTCATCTTATTCTAACCACTTATTTGCATGTAACTAATATTCTGTGTATATCATGTTTTTTTTTCCTTGTTAATGCCCAGGAGCTTATGTATACTGGGCAGTTAGGTTCAGGGCCTCAGGTCTGGTAGGGTCATTATTTTTACTGACTATAGACTCTATTCTGAAAACAACAGCTGCCACCACAACTAGAATTAAATGGTTCTGACAGAGCACATGAATGATTTGGACTTCGCCAATGACAGAGCCATTCACTCCCCTACATGTGAAATTGGATGCAAGATAAACTGAGCACACTTGATAGGAGATTACAACACTTAGATCTACACGTTATAAAAAAAATTTATAACAATAAATAAAGCAAATGATAGTCCGAGTTCCTTTTCTGAAACCCTTTTGAAGCTGTGGAATCACTTTATTTAGGAAGCCAAATGGGCAAAGATGGAACAGAAGGAACTAAGAATATTATAGGAAAAAGGTATTTTCACAGCGCTAAAAAATTTGGGGTGGTCAGCAATTAAACCAATACAAAACTTCAAATTTTTAATCCTACACAAATCAATATTGCCATGTGGATCTGATAAATGGAATGAAACAATTACAAATAAATTATAAATATTCATTAACTGGTGCTTGTATAGAATTGAAGCACTGAAACAATATGACAGAATCACCAACGTGTAGCTCGTGAAGTGAATTAAACTCTTCTTTCTGTGTTCACATTTATAACAGTAGCTGACACACTGTTTTGTAGTTTCCAGCTAGGCTGAGATATATGCACTTTTTGGCCCAACACCTTTGTTTGCAGTACACCTCTAACTAGCTGCATTTTGCTCCAGTGAGTCTATTCATTTTTTTTCCTTATGGGACTACAGAACCCACTCCGGGAAGTGGACTTAACAATCCCAGTGTCGGAGGAAGAAATCAAAGCAATGTTTCCCTGGTGTAAATCTGATTAAAGAAGACACAAACAAAGGACAGCACCATGTTATAACCAGATTACCAGGTTTATTTATTATCTGGCATGTTTCACTGTATCTCCTCAGGTGGATACTCCAGAAATAATTGAATAAAAGAATCAAATGAATTAATTGTTTCAAAATCAGCTATATTCAAAAGTACCTGTCTGTTTTACAAGGGTGAACTTTTGAGTGTGGTTGATTTTGTATTTCGATTGTAAGAATTTATTTATTTGCTTCTTTGGTTCAATTATTACTTTAGTATGCACTTGCAAAATATGCCAGAGAAAAGAATAAGCAATTTATTGTTTATGCCTTTTTTGATCAGATGAGGAAATAATGCTGGCTAGGACACACTCTGTGTCAGCACAGTCGATAAGAGGCTCGCTTTCAAATCCAGCTGCGACTTGTTGCAGCCCACAGTCGGTGTTCAAAACCGGGCGGTTCCCGGGGTTCACCCAGCCTCTAGGAAATGGGCACCAGAGTTGACATTCTGGGGCATATGGAGGAACGTCGCTGTAGCTACAGAGTTACGTGCGGACGGCGACCCAGTCGAACAATTCTTATCAGCTGTCCGTACTGGTGGCAGAGCACTTATGGTTTATAACCATGTGCAATGACGCTTTTTCACATCTCCCGACCTTACCTTTTACCTTTTTTACACACACTGAGAAAATTTGTTCAAAGTAAAATCCGACAGTCCTTTCTCTGGAACACACAGGGCAAGAGAAATAGAGCCCTTAAGCCATACAGAAAAGGGAGACAGGCTAATAAAATGAGCAGGGTTTAGAAGATGCTACAGGAAACCATAGGATAGTATCTGGTATGAGGCCCCATAAAAGAGTATGGGGTTTTGAAGGAAACAGAATAAACACACCGCCCCTTAATGGTAAGCATGTTGTCTGCCCCTTAATGGTAAGCATGTTGTCTGCCCCTTAATGGTAAGCATGTTGTCTGCCCCTTAATGGTAAGCATGTTGTCTGCCCCTTAATGGTAAGCATGTTGTCTGCCCCTTAATGGTAAGCATGTTGTCTGCCCCTTGATGGTAAACATGTTGTAAAAGGTGACTAATAAAGGATTTGCTGAAATTGGATGAGATGGGCTGAAAGGCACAAATATAACATGCGAACTGCCTTTTTAATGGTGAATGTAGAAGGAGAAGGAGCTTGACACTGAATCTAGACCTCTGTACTGGTAAGCTAAAGCAGTATTTTGTTCTATGTTAACCTGGTTTCCTAACTTGCACTACTTTTCCAAAAACATATATCGTTACAAAAAATAACTTACATACAAAAATCAGGTGTAACTATGGTGGCCACCACAGTTTTCCTTGGAATATCAATCACATGAAAGTCCTTTCTAGATATTGAACACATGATCACAGCAAACTTGAGTCCTGCCCCCAGAAGGTATGCTTTAACAGTCTCCATTGAGATCTGAAAATGTAGTACTCTCTCCATGACACATTTCTTGTGCTGTATGGTGTATTTTGACAGCCAGGAGACTTTTCTGTGCTCCTCCCACAGGCATGTAAACATTTGGAAAGGGTCTTGTGGCATGTGATAAAACGAGGCAAACAGTGAGGGCCTGTCTGACTGGATTCTGAACGAGCTTACTACTTCTCCAGTCCGCCTGACCAACCATAGACTGCACAGGGTTGAATCACATGTAAGGAACTTTAAATTGTCCTCGTCACTTGGCAAGAATTTTACCTGAAGACACAATAGATGGCTTTATATACAACGGAGACAGTATTTTGTTTTAGACACATTATAAGAATGAATAGAACTGGCGAGGTGCCGTCAATTTGCATGTGTAAGCGGTTTAGACAAAATTGAGCATTAGCAGGATATTTTCCTTTTCGTCACATTGCTGTTGAGAATATATATATGCGCAGCTAACACAGTAGTATTAGCAATTGGTAGCCTTCACACATTACAGTTTCTGCATGAATGGTGTAGGCATGCAGCAAACATTACTTTTCACTATGTTAATACTGTTAACAAGCTTTACATACTCGTAGAGATGTAAACCAAGTGGTCATTTGTACTAAATAGTAAACTGTAGTAATAAACAGTAGAATTGTGCCTTTTTCTTTTTTCAATGGAAAGTGCAAGCAGCCATTACAGTCCATCACATGTATGCCTCGACACTGAGGAATGTACTAGAGAACTTGGTTACATCTGGTAAGACTGAATGAGAACAGAACAAGGATGAGGAAAATAAAGAAGTACTTGGATGGCTTGACTATATGGGCGAAGCAAGACAAGAACACTGACCAGATCTGTGATTTTGGTGATTGTTTACAATCAGTTCTTATAAAGAACTTTTAATTTTCAATGATTAAGAAGATACAGACACTAAGTAATTTGATTAGTGACCGACTATCTTCAACTGTGAAACTATCTTTTAGTGCTCCAAACTCCTTCATATTACACTCAGAGATTATTAGCTCGGTGCCCAAGCCCTGCAGCAAAAGGAAAGATTAAAATTTGTATACACAGCATCTATAATTATTCTGTTTCAGTCTGGTTTAATAATTTGCCATATCAGTGGTTTCCCTGTCTGTTTTTTTTCAAAGTTTCAACTGCTAAGAATAGCAAATCAAAAGTGAAGAGGTCAGATGAGCATTTTGCAGGCTGTCAAAGAATAATAGTAAACAAACACAGAACTGATGTCATTCGCAACATGCTGAGAGAGATATTCTAAGGAAAAGATCCAAGCACTTAAGGACTGAATGGTTGGATGTACAATGAGAATTATCTGTAGCCTAATTTTCAATTACCAAGTGGTTTTAACGAGTAAATGAGGTCTCCTAATTATAGTCTTGTTAAAAAAGCCTAGGTATTAATTCACGTCAGACATCAAGAAACTTGAGTATGACATGGATTCCTCTAAAATAATGTCCTATAAATACTGTCCTGTAAATAATGTCTTTAGATGGAAGCACTTTTTAATTACATGCTTCTTTTTTTTCACATTCACTGGCTGTAAACTCTAGTGGAAATTTCTGGTTGTTCTTCCACTTCAGGACTTTAACTTTGTTTTAGAACTTGAGTTCTGTGTAAATAACCCTTTTACAGATGTGGCTTGTATGATGCAGTCTGTTGGTTCCTCACCTCCCAGGCAGATTCACTCTGACTTTGAAGGAAACACCTCTAATTAGTTGACTTTTATCATATTTATGGATATATACAGAGTAAGTAACATTAAGTAAATAAAGCAAGAGACTCTTTGTCACACCTTCAGGCGTACTAGGTATATAGGGCTAGACCTATACTTTATAGACCAATCGGCACTTCTTGGGTGCAAGGTCACATTCTCTGCCCCAGGGCGACTCTCGTACCATTGTCTGAAAATGACGAGAACGGTGTCTTTTTTTTAAACCCTGCATAGTGAGAATGACCCATATCCAGAGTTCTGTAAATGTAACCTACATCAACACTCGTAACTCATTTGTTCATGAAACTGTAAATATAAACTGTGTCTACTTACTGCGAAGACCCAGTCCTCATGGACATCATCAAAGGTCCTAATAAGATCAGAGGAGTATTTCTTGAAGCCCCAAAGTTTAGCAGTTTTATCCACAGAACCGGTCAGTAAAAACTGCTCATCAGGTGTGACATCAACTGCCAGCACAGCAGACGTGTGGCCACAGAATGTCTGACAGTGCTGACGGGAGCAGAGGTCCCATGAATCAGCATTGGCATTGAAAGACGCTGTGTACAGATGAGTTTTAGTAATTGTTAGGCAACACACAGAGTGAGTTGCTATAGAGATTAGGGGTTTGCCTGATGGAATATCCCATACCTGCACAGTGTGATCATCACAACCTGTTCAGACAAAATTATAGATATATAAATACATATACACACATATATATATGCTGAATTACTAGTAAAATACAGTAATGGGATCTTTATTGGGGACAAAAGACAAATATTGATGGTATCATTAACAAACTTGATTTGTTAACAAAGAACAACATGTGATATGAATCCTTATCTTCTTTTTCATGTTCAGTAAGCTCCTGGAGGCTTCACAGCCATTTTACAGATCTGGCTAATTTGTCTGCTGACTGCTGGTTCCTTGGTCTCAGGCAGAAGCACTACAACTTTGAAGGATGCCGCAGATTGGTCAACTTCTGCGACACATTTGTTAGGGAAGCACTGTTTCTATTCTTGTTTTCCCCAGAATAGACAATGCAGCCCCAGAACACACATGGGAAATGAAGCCTTACAATAAGAAATATTATGATCACAAGAAGATGCTATAGCACTGGGTTTCATCCCACATGGCTCAATCTTTCTCTGCACAGCAGTGAGCTGATTGAAAGAAAGTAAAAAAAAAAAAGTAAAGATCCCTTTTCACACTTTTTAGGCGTATCGGGCATATGGGAAGAGCACCCATAATTTTACAGACCAATCGGCACTCTGTGGGTAATGTTGTCAGCATTACGCCGGCCGTCTTTACTTCCCTAAGACAGCCATCCTGGTACCCAATTGGGGCTGGGCCAACCTGCGACGTCCCATACCACAATAAAAATCCACGCAGCCTGCAGTGGGTTTCGATCGCGGTACGTTGGATTACGAGTCGGACTCGCAACGGAACTGATTGAAACTATTCAAATATTAGCTGAGCACAGATTACGTGCCCCCTTAACCCTACCAGACCGCTGGCCTGATTTTTCAGAAAAATTCTTAACCTGACGCTAAACAGCTGTCCCTAATTTTTGGCTATTTGCGTAGTGCGTGAAAAAGATCTAGGAAGACTATTCCCCAGGTCTGATAACTAGCCAATCGTTATCAGACCTGGTGGATAGTCTTCCTAGATATCCGCCCGCATGTGTTTGGATTACATTTGTGTTGTTTTACGTGAAAAAATTCTGAAAATTCACAATAAAACGATTTATTGCAGCGGTGTCCATGGCTTAGGTACTGTGAGTCCAACTCGTAATTCCAACGTACTGAGATTGAAACCCATGGCTGGCTGCGTGGATTTTTTATCATGGTATGGGGCGTCCCAGGTCGACCCAGCCTAAAATGGGTATAAGAGTGTATGTCCTGGGGAAGTAAAGATGGCCGGCGTAATGCTGACCACATTACCTACCTAGTGCCGATTGGTCTGTAAAAATATGGGTGCTCTTCCCATATGCCCGATGTGCCTAAGGCGTAAAAAAGGATCTTTACTATACTTACTTTTAGATTTATGACAATTACTATCATTTACTGTAGTTACAAATAAAGCATAATTCAAACACTTTGCAGTGCCTATAATTAATATTTAGTGAATTTTGATAATAAAGTAGCATTACTTGTTAAAAGACGTATGAATGAACGGAGGGAGATTAGACGGGCAGAATGTTAGATGGGTCAGCATGCCCAAATCTCAACCATTTGAAAATAAAGTCTGTTTGTTTATTTAACATAAAAAGCACATACTCTGTAGTTCTAGTGAATATCCTCATATCACAAGGGAAAGTAGGAAATAGAAATATAACACGATAAGCTGATAAGTGTTTGAATTAATTAAAGGTTTCTAGGCATGACTGAAATTCAAATAGTAATCTAAAGTGTGTTTTAGCTTACCCAGATACTTCGTTAATATGTCAATGTTTTCTTGATCTATAATTACATTCATTATCAGAATATTATGGAGTCTAAAGTCACACATAAAACATGTTTCTGCAGTCAAATGTTCCTGAAACATGTCCTTTTAAGTCAGCTTAACAACAAAAACAAGATGTCTGGACTCCTCTAAGTTTTTAAATACTTGTTTCCAGAACAATCAAAAGTAATATGTCTTAAGCAAATAATAATGACTTTTTAAAAACAAACACTTATAATAACACTATTAACTGTTAAAATAAGAAATGAGAAAATGCACACAAAAAAACAAAAAAAAGGAATTAACTGGCCCTCTGAAAGTTAGAATAGGACTAGGGAAGAATAAGAAGAAGAAGAAGGATGATGTGAATGATGCAGATACTGAGGTGGATTCATGGGAGCAGGATGCCTTGGACTGCACTGCACAGAAGAGGCAAATTAGGAAGGGAATAAGATAAATAGGGAAATTACATGTAATGTCAACAATGGTTTCGAGATTAGAAGAATGCTACTCCCTTCGACACCAGATAAGTGGAACATCCTGTACGGAGAAAAAGAACAGCTTGTAGAAACATTTAAATTCACTACATGGCGTTGGGCCAAAGTGTGAAAGTTCATGCACCAATGGATTGCTAACAAAAACAACAACAAGCAGCAACAACAAAGTTACATACACAATAACCCAAGCATTCACCATTAATTAATATACAGTCGAGTCCACTCAAGTCGAACTCGGATAAGTCAAATTTTGGTTAAGTCGACATGACCTGCTTAGTCCAGGCAATTTTCTTTATTGTGTGTGCTGTCTGGATAAGTAAAAACCCTGTAAGTGGAAGCATTTTCTTAGGTTTCTGTGACTTCTTCTTATCCAAACTCGACTGTACAAAACACAATGCCATTCTTACCTGTAACAATATGTCCATGAAAATATCCAACAAATGTAAAACGCCAGTCTCCTTTGTCAATAAATTCATTCTGAATACTGATCTTTGTTTGTGTGCTGAAACCTTTAAGTGTGGCAAGTGTTTTTAAATAAAGGCGTTTATAAATGTTTTCTTTCTGTAGTCGGAGTTCACTTTTATTCAAATCTGCATTTGTTACATCTCTTTCTTTTGATAAGTTACTGTCCCCAACTACTGTAACATCTGCTCCTGCATCTAAGGCCAGCTGGTACCAGAGTCTAGTATGACTATTTATAATATCATTCCAGGAACTGCAGACCTGTCATAAAAATATCAATAAAAACTGAAGCTAAATCATGAACATGTGATCTGTGCAGGTTAAGAAGTCATTCACAAAATAAAATTAATGTCAGCTTATTTAACTGTTTGGTAGTCACCGTGGTGGAGCAGCTAGATGCTTGCCGTGGATTGGAAGGTTGTGGGTTTGCTCCCTGGACTTTTTAAAAAAATGACCTTGGCTCCCAGGTTGACCCAGCCTTGAGTGGGTACCAGGTCCAGTCCCAGGAAGTAAAGGCGGCTGGTGTGATGCTGACCATATCACCCATCTTGTGCTGACTGGTCTATAAAATATAGGTCTAGCCCTCTATGCTCTATTCGCCTAAAGGCGTGGAAAAGGGCCCTTACTTTTTTTTCAACTTTATTTAACTGTCCACAAACACAGGTGTCCCTCATCTCAATCCTTTCATCCGGAGTCCACAGTGACTTGTCCTGGAAAAATTTAGTTATTGCAACTGTTTGCACCTGCGCAAAATTTAGGAGCTTAGAGTATGAATGAATATATTTACTAGTAATAGTTAAATCTATGAATTGTACACTGTCTTGTTCTTTCTTGTCAAATATTCCTTTCACATTTGTCTAGATTTGTACCGTTAGTTTGCATTTCTCTCTCCATGGGGTTTGTTCTGGAATACTGTTAAGTGGACAACCAATTTCTGGAAGGTCAGCAGTTTGTCTAAATATTCTTTTTGCTTGATGTATAAAGCTGCTTTTTTTTAACCGTCCTAAGGCTAGGTTCTGAAATCTATTTTTCATGGGGTGATCTGGCATACTGAGGAACTTTTCAGCTTGTATTTGCAACTTTGTATCTCTGCGTTTTCTCAGTGCCTGTATTTTCCCAGCTTTCTCTATTTCTAATATGGGGGTTGATTTCATCTCTCCTGTAATGACTCTGAGTGCTTGATTTTGCACTTTATCCAACTCCTTTAATGTGGTACTAGATGCTGAACACCATGCAGTTGACCCATATTCCAAGAGTGGAAGTATGCTCTGCTTGTATACTTTACTGAGTATTTTCCCACTGGCTCCCCATGTGGTACCACTTAGTTTTCTTAGTATGGCTGTCTTCCTCCTGGCTTTGGTTGCTGCCTTGTTGATATGTTTTCTCCATGTCAACCTGTCATCAAATGTAACTCCTAGGTACGTGGGCTCTTTATCATTTCTTAGGGGTATTCCGTTTATTTTGATTTTTGATATTTTGCACATTAATATGACTGTATATGGTGTGCGGATTCATGACCAGGTTGCATGCTCTAATGTCTGTCTGTATGTGGTTTATTAAATTATGAAATGGTTACATATTAATATGACTGCATACAGTGTGCTGAATCATGACCTAGTTATATGCTCATTTGTCTGTCTGAATGTGGTTTATTAAATCATTACCTGGTTGTATGCTCATATGTCTGTCTGTATATGGTTTATGAAATTATGACCTGGTTGTATGCTCATATGTCTGTCTGTATGTGGTTTATTAAATCATTACCTGGTTGTATGCTCATATGTCTGTCTGTATGTGGTTTATTAAATCATGACCTGGTTGTATGCTCATATGTCTGTCTGTATGTGGTTTATTAAATCATGACCTGGTTGTATGCTCTTATGTCTGTCTGTATGTGGTTTATTAAATCATGACCTGGTTGTATGCTCTTATGTCTGTCTGTATGTGGTTTATTAGATCATGACCTGGTTGTATGCTCATATCTCTTGTTTCTGTGGAGAGGGAAAAATAAATGTTCTGCAACACAAATACCATTCACTCTTGGGAGATACTGTACATCAATAACTGTACATCAATAACTATACATCAAAAAGAAATAGCATGATATGTTAAGTCTGCATTTCAAACACAAATAGAATGATATTTTAAATATTCAATTTACATCCTGGATAAATATTTCGAGAATACTGCAATAGACTACACTAGACATCAGTCACATTTGTCATGACCCGATCATAAAATTAATCAATTATCATATTTTATTTTCAGAAACATCACATATTGTTCGATGTGATTCTTGAAACGAATGTTATGTGGTGAGTTGGCTAAAAGATTATTGTTCTCACCTCATTACGGAAACTATAGGTGATACCTGAACATGGAATTCAGCAATGTTTAAATAGCTATTGGGTTCTAACAATATCAAATGCCTCTGATCCCCAGAAAGTCTTAAGTAGTGTAATTAATATTGCTTTTTTAGACAAGAGAGTAAAAGATTTGGAAGTTTCAGAGCATAAGTTGTGCTTGTAAAAAATTCTACAGTACCTGGAAATCACCAAGGGAAGACTGCTGCTCTTGCAAAATTTTCAAGAATGAAAACTTCATCAGGCAGTGCATTAATTTAAAAGAAAACTGTCTAAACCAGTGATCCCCAAACTGAGCACTTCTGCGCCCCGGGAAGCCCCAGAAATATTCGAAGATACTCAAGTTGCTTTTTTTTTTGTACTTTTACATATGAATAGTAATGCACAAACTGAACTGTTGTTTATGTGAATCATCATCATCCTCAATTTCCACTTGTGCCGTTAAGTGTCATGAGGAGGAACAGTTTGCGATCCACTGCTTGATGGACAACAATAGCTACCGTCATTCCATGTCGATGTATAAGCTCTTTAATGTTATCAATTCATCTTCTACTATGGCAGCCTCTAGGTTTCACTTCAGATCTTTACATGTGCAGTGAATAACAGTTTTTAAAAAGGTAAAGGTAAAGTCGGCAAATGTGAACCAGCGTCATTGCACACGGTTATAAACCATAAGTGCTCTGCCACAAGTATGGGCAGCTGATAAGAATTGTCCGCCTGTGTCGCTGTTCGCACGTAACTCTGTAGCTACAGCGACATTCCTCTATTTACCCCAGAGTGTCAACTCTGGTACCCATTTCCTAGAGGCTTGGTGAACCCCGGGAACTGCCCAGTTTTGAACACCGACCGTGGGCTGCAGCGAGTCGCAGTTGGATTTGAAAGTGAGCCTCTGTCTTATTGACTGTGCTAACGCGGCTTCCCATTTTTTTTTTTTTAAAGTAAAGAATGCTCTTCACATCAATGGTCTTTCGAGCATACAGTGCAAGTATTTGTATAGACCAGCAGGCACTCAGTGGAATGATGTGGCCAACATTACTGCAAATACTAATGCAACAAAAGTAAAACATTTTTTTTAAATATTAAATCAATGAGTTCTAGAAAATGTACCTGGCAGCAGACAAGAAGATGTTGTCCATCTAAATATTTCAGTATGTTGGTGACCAGTTCAGCTGGAAGGCTACTAATAAAGTCCCTTAACACAAACTCAGGAAGTCTGTTGTAAAGCTCATACAGCTGGCTTGGCTGAGAAACAGTAACCAACCATCTCATTTCAGAAAAAAACAAAAAAGTACTGTGTCATGGACTCAGCTATAGATGTACAACTGTCTGCGCACTGATGTACATTTGGACATTGGTGTTGATCGGAAGAGAAGAAGGGACATAGATACAAAGGATAGCGAAACTTTAGTCTAGGACTGATGGCTTAGGTTTGTTCCATATGCTTTTACTCATAGAGTTTTTAGCTATTAAAGTTTTGTCAACAACCTCAACAAATGCTTTGCAGTTTTCTCTATTTGCTTCCTATAGATGCCATGTTTGTTTTCAGTGCTTAACAATGATTTGGTGGGTAATGAGGTCAGCACTTTGTTAAAGATAATTCTGTCAGTAAAACAGAGAGCTGCATTAAAATATTAGGAAAGCATTCATAGATGTGGAATTAACAAGTATGACAGAACAGAAAAAAAAGGCTTAAATAAAGAAAATCTATACAGTTATTGCATCATCTAAAAAAAACTATAATGCACATTTATTGATATCTCTTCTATTTTTTCTTCTTATTCACATTCACAGTCTGTAAGCTCTGGTGGAAAGTTCTGGTTGTCTGTTCTCCCCTGGACCTTAGTCTTGTTCCAGAACCTGAGTTTTGCGTGCACATCCATTTAACAGATCTGACTTAAATGAATGCAGACTGTTGGTTTCTTGCCTCTCAGGCAGATGCACTTTGACTTCGAAGGAAGCCCCCAATTAGTCAGCTCTTATGAGATGCTTGTTCTGGAGGCAGTGGATCTATTCTTGTTTTTCCCACAAAGGGGCCCTGGAACCCACACAGGGAGCCAACTAATGTGAAATCTATAGATACGTACATTAATTTCTTTCTACACTATTATTATTTTCTTTAACTCATTTCTCACTCTGCTCCCCTATTCCTTTCTTTCTCACTGATTAAACAATCATTATTTTCTTGTATACTGACTTTAGTAGAAGCTAATTTCCAATGTGCACAGCAATCCAATTCCAATTCATGTCAGTTTAAGTTTTTCTTCGGCATTTTACCTCCTAATGAAACACAGTCTCGCAACCGATGCACAACATGTCAGATGTAGACTTTTTTCATAACTGGTTGACCTCTGCAGACTTTTTAGTTCTCCTCCTAACTTCTACCCCTGCATTATGGCGGCAACAAATATCCTTACGGGGCTCAGTCCTATTAAAAATATGCCGGCTCCGTTTAACGAAACATATGCTCTAACAGGGTCTCAGCGATATGTTAATTGCGGACCTGTTTCTGTGACTATGCCTCACCTCCGACGGTATCCCCAGCGCCGCTACGGATGGGGGCTAAACTAGATGGCTGGGACTCACGAGCAGCAGCTACCGCAACTCCTGCAACTTCCTCCAGTTAATTTTCTCGCGAGTCCCAGGCACCTAGTTTAGCACCCCATCCGCGCCGCTGGCAATGTTGAGGTTGGCTAACTTGTCTTAAGGGAGGTGAAAGTGAAATTCAAGTAACCTGCCAATGACCCATAGAGCTCCCAGATAAACCCCACTTCCTCGTGGTGCACGCCAGAAAACTGAAGCCATGAGGTTTCAGGCTAAGAGAGCAATGGTTCACCTGGAACGAGACGGGCACCAATCAGGTCAAATTTGTTCCTGTCCCGCCAGGCCTAGCAAACCGGCAGTGGTGTAACTTATTGCTACTGCACAAGAAATACTGAATACATATAGGAAAAAGAATAAAATGGTTCAGCCATCTAGTGAGCCAGACCAAACTGCATATAAGATATTTTACAGCAGAACATCAGAATTAGCAATGGCCTACTAATTCTTCATGTCATTCTTTTCTGTTTAATTTTATTCACACGTATACATCGTGAAAATTTTTGTTTTTTCTAGAAACTGACAGACATTAATTATCTTAAACAAAATCCATTTTACAGGTATTAATTTTAAATGAAACAAAAACATACATAGAATGTTTCAGCAACATTGAGACTTACCCCTGATGCTGCAATAAGTGCAGTCAGTGTTGCATTCTTGTCAGAATCATTCAGTTTTGTGTAGCTGGACAAGGTTTGCTGCAACCATTCTGAGTATGATGATGATGAATCTGACATGGTTTTCCTACAACTTGCTGCAAGTCTTTGAACAAGTAAGTTACCTGCATACTTTTTTTTTAAAGAACTAGAAGATTTATTTGGTCTAATGACATCAATATTTTTATTTATTGGTACAAAACACAGATGTTATAATTCTGATGACTTTTCTGTAAACAGAAGTAGCAATTTAATCAATGATATCCTGAGGGGGTTTGTATTTATGCTGCCAGTGTATCTTTGGTTCCCATTTTTCTGACCAGGCTGAACAAGCTTTTTCTAGGCCACTTTTTATTCAGGATAGATACAAAGCTGTGAAAGTCCATGTATTATTATGTACACTGATCTTTACACAGCGCCACCCTCTCTTCTTCTTCTGCCTTTCTATCCCCCAATGGAGCATAGGCCCTCAACCAACTCACGCCAAGTCGTTCTATCCTTCGCCATTGCATGGAGCTCTCCCCATGTCCTCCCAATCTTTCTAACCTCATTCTCCAGCTCTCTTCTCCATGTGTTTTTTGGCCTTCCTTTATTCCTATGCCCCTGGGGGTTCCAATGCAAAGACATTCTAGTTATGCTGTTCTCCTGTTTTCTCAGTGTGTGCCCTACCCAACGCCAGCGTCTTTTCCTCACCTCCTGATCCACTGGAGCCTGTTTAGTTCTCTCCCAAAGTTCTACATTAGTTATTCTATCATACCATTTTATTCCTTCTAATCCGCGCAGGCACCAGTTAATGAATGTCTGTAATTTATTAGTAATTGCCTTGGTTGTTCTCCATGTTTCCGCCCCATACAATAGTACTGATTTGACATTAGAATTAAAAATGTTTAGTTTAGAATTTCTTTTAATTTCTTTTGACCTCCACAAATTCCCTAGTGCTATGAAAGCCCCTCTTGCTTTTTGTATTCTTTTTTTAATATCTCTATCAGTTCCTCCATCTTTATCTACATTACTGCCTAATTAGGTGTACGACTCCAGGTCTAGGAGTGGGGTGCCATTAAGAGAAATGCCACCCTCTCTATATCTAATTAATTAATCTAGAAACGATAAATTCTGGTCTAGCTAAAGGTAGCTTTTAGGCAAACATTCCATGGTGCTATTTCAGTGGTTAAATACCAAATCCATTCTTATCCTTATGTATTGGAGGCAAACACCAGCTATAAAATTTACAATTTGTTAAGGTACATTTCAGAGCAAAAAGAGCGGTGTACGACAAGCATGTGTACTGTCATCTGATTTGTTTTCTCTATACAGTGAATATATATTGAGAGCTTTAATTGGTATGCCCAGAATTGTGGTTGGTGGTCACCATATAAACAATTTACGTTATGCTGATGACTCAGTCTTGATAGCAACAAGTCAGAAAGAACTACAGGAAATGATAGACATTGTGGTGTTAGAAAGTGGAAGAATGTTTGCAGTGCGGCCAAGGGAGAGAACTCTGACTAAGTCGTCCAAGGCTTTTTATTCTTCGTCCGGATTTGACAGGAGTACCGAATAATGGAAAGACAGAAGTAATGGTGGTATCAAAGAAAAGAATTATTCCTAAATGTGTAATAAAAGTCAATGGTATTATTTTAGGACAAGTACAGAAATTTAAGTATCTGGGCACATGGATAACATCAGATGGAAGATGCATTACTGAGATTAAAAAAAAAAAAAACAGAATAGGCCAGGCAAATACTGCATTTTATAAAATGAAGAATATCTAATGCAATATATCTTTGTCACTGAAGGTTAAAAAAATGAATTTGCGCTTGCTAGATACATCCAGTTTTAACATATGGCTCTGTGTCATGGACAATCGGTAGGCAGGCCAAACAATTTCTTGGGGCCTTGCAGATGTGGTTTTAAAGAAAATGCTTAAAAAACCTTGGACAGCCAACAAGAGCAACCAAGAGGCTTTGAAAGAGGCGGGAACCCGAAGATAACTTATTACAGACATTAGAAGGAGACAGTCATCATTTTTCGGCCATGTTATGAGAAGAGGGAAAATGGAACTTGTGACCACTGGAAAGATCTGTGGAAGGAGGGATAGAGGAAGACAACGAGAGAAGATTCTTGACAGTCTTGCTGCAGCCCCAACTTTGGACACTATACCTTCCATCCCTTACCTACCCAGACTCTCCTATCCCTTTCCCAGACAGCTCCAGGAATGGCAGTTTAATATGTATAATGTAAGTGTATTAAAATATGTCATAAATAACATTAATTCTGTAATTGATTGTTTATTCTGCTAGGTCTTGTTGTAATGAACACATTGATACATGGTTGCTAAGGTATATGTCCAGAAACAAAAGAGTTACTGTTAAAACGAAAGTATTTTCCTCTATGTTCCAAATAATTATATTTATATAATTTAGCTTAAAACTGATATATCAGCTTATAGCTGATGTAGGGGCTTGAATGAGGTACCGTTGGACTTCATTTTCCAGTTGAATCCAACTACCATTATTGAATTATTGGCTATCCTCCAAACTTCAGGCACTAAAGATGGCGGCCGCAAAATATCCTTTCGAGCCAGTCACGTGACTTAATTTGTGGTTCTCCGGCGACTATCGCCACCACCACAAGTCCCTCACACCGCTCACGTGGCATGGATTGGGGCTAAACTAGATGGCTAGGACTCACGAGCAAAGCTTCAGGAGATGCGGAAGCAAATTAAGTCGCCGGAAGTGCGCAATTGATACGTGACTGTGGCTCGAAAGGATATTTTGCGGCCGCCATCTTTAGTGCCCGAAGTTTGGAGGATAGCCGAATTATTTATTTTAAAATAATTTAGAAAAATTTATTTGACTAAAGCACCTAAATATTAGGCTTGCTAATTGGGTCCAAAGTGGAACTGATGAGACACTATTTAGTTTTTCATGTGCAAAATAGACACACTGCGACTCTGAAAACAAAGCTGCACTGACACTCACTGACAAAATTTTTCCGTACTCTTTACGTAAACAATCATATCAAGAAGATTTATAGGAACTATTGCACAGATGCCAAGCTCTGACATAACATGGTGGCTAAGTCATTTGTTTCATGGTCTGAAAGTGTAGGCTCTCTGGGAATCGTAGCTGTACAGGTTGTGTATCATTCTCAAGAGGTATTTAAAACTAGTGGGCTGACAGCCATTTTTATATGTTAATTAGGCCTATATTGTATCATGAGTATTTGAGAAATGTAAATACAGTTAGATCTCATTGTTCTGATTCCAGCAGTATATAGTTGCTAAAGAATTTGGTAAGAAACAAAATAGTCATTGCTATGAAATGAAAATACTGAGTGATTTCATGCCTACATTTAACTAGGGCGCAGCCCGGGATCCATCTTTTGTCAGTTCCATATTATTTGTCTGCGGTGGCACCCGCTACTAAAATGTTAATATCTGAGATATTATCTCCGCTTACAATTGACTTGCAGGCTTGAATTAGGTGGTATCGCTAGATTCGTAAGTGTAATCTCTATCTAACTGTGATGAGTCATGGTTTTATAAGTAAAAGCCTAATATACAAGACTTAACTATGGTCGTTCAATAATGCAACCAGGACCGTACAACTAACGACCAACACCCGGTGACACAAAAGTGCCACTATTCGGATGAGGATAACCCAGGCACAAGGCCCAGAAACCCTGTTCAATCAAAAGTTTATATTAGTGCCCCTGTCTACAGCCGGAGTTGGGCTTTAAAATAACGAAAAATTGTGTTCCGCATTGGGACGGGTAAAATGTTAAGTGTCTATCATAGACTCTATGAAATAATAAATAAGTTAAGTAACAATGAGTGAGTGACTTTCTATCCCACTAGGACATCACACAAGCGATAAACACCCGATGACACATAGTGCCACCATTCACCATGTGGATGAGGATCACGGTGGAGAGGTCCCAGAAGCCGCGTTCAGACATTTGGCCATTTTTATGGCCTGCCTATATTGCGGCCCTGGCAAAAGCCAGAGTGGGGCTTCAAATAACAAAAAATTACGTCTTGAAAAGGACGTAGTAAGGACTTTATTACTAACAATTAAGTAACAATCTTATATTATAGTATAATTGTTTATTAAATATGGCACTCTTCCGAATACCGGTCCCAAATTATTCACTGCCGAAAAACATCCCTCAGGAGGTTATGTAGTAAAACTGTTTAAGCCATCATGATCAGTTTCCACTTGTGCCGTTATTGCTCGCTGGATATCAATGTTTAGACGTTAAGTTAAGCGCCGTGGGGAGGAATCGTTTTCGATCCATCGAAGCGACGTGGAAAAGAATAGATTTCGATCCATTTATTTAAGCGTCTTGAGGAGGAGTAGAGTTCCATCCATTTAAGCGACGTGAATGATTTTTGATCCATTGTTTACATTACCCATTACTGCCCTTGCGGGGGTCCAGGGCCAAATATTTTAGGGGAAAGAAAAAAATAGATCCACTACCACATAAAAGTTGTAAAAGGCGACTAATTAGGACTGCTGAAATCGGATGCTTTGGGGCAAAGGGCGCAGATATCGCAGCCTAGCTGTAAACCACAACACAACGTGAGAACCATTCTTTCAAGGGCGAACGAAAAGAACGAAGTTTACCTACCCGTGACATTATCATTGAGCATCTCGCCGCCGCTATCGCAGCCTAGCTGTGAACCACAAGAACAAGCGAAAGGCGCATATTTCGCAGCCTAGCTGTAAACCACAACACAACGTGCCAACCGCTCTGTTAAGGGTTAAAAAATGACCTTTTGAGGCCCTGAATAGGATTTTTTAACGGTGAATAATTTGGGACCGGTATTCGGAAGAGTGCCTTAAATATTACCATTACCCTGGATCGTTGACATTTACTTATAATTTACATTTTAAAGTAGCCATACCCGCGACTGAACTAGCAAAGTTGATTATCATTATGTACTACTGGATTGATGCTAAATATTTTCAAGCTTAAGTTTAGTTTATCAGTCTTCAACTGATCGCTCGATTGTGTTTACCAACAAACGAAAGTTACTCGACTTACTTCCCTTTTTTGGCTATCATGATGTACGTTGT